TGTTTCAGGTGTTTAAAATGTTGTTTTTTTTCTTCAGAAATAATATTTTTCAGAAATTTGTTAGATTTTTCAAAAACTTTCAGGTTTTTTTCAGATGTTTTAGGATTTTTTAATGTATTTTTTTTCTTTTAGGATGAATTAATAAATAATAAATCAAACATTTGATATTGTAAAATCTTCTGATATTTTAAAAATATTTTATATTTTTACAACCTGTTTAATTTTTATATTTATATCTGAACAGTTTTCAGTCAGATTTTTTAATCAAAAGGATTTTAATATACACAGTATAATATTAAATATCATATATTTGATATTAGAAAACTATCAGAGGGTTAAATCCTGTAACGCCGTCGCCTCCGTCCACCTTAACGTTTAATTTAAAGGTTATGATCTCATAACTATCAGACCTGTTTGCATATCCGAGAGCTTTTGTTTGTTTGTTTTTACTTAACAAGGTTTCCTTCAGGGAACACAATCATGGACCGTTCTTATTTATTTCTTGTTTTGTTTCTGTTGTGAGAACACGTGAGGTGATAACCTGATAACTACATTTTGCAGTTTGAGGAATTAACAGTGAGTCTGTGTTAAAGGCGTTCAGGATGCGTTCTATGTGAGTGGACTTCTGAGGGTTTGGACTCGAGGCTTTGATTCATGTGTGTGTAACATAAAATATATATATATATTATTATGTATATGATATTGATGTGTGTAGATGTGAATGAGTGTCTGCAGCCGGGGCTGTGTGAGAACGGCGTCTGTGTGAACACCAGGGGGAGCTATAGCTGTGTTTGTAGGCCGGGGTTCATCCTCGACGCCTCGCACGGACTCTGCATCTGTAAGTAACACACACATGTACACAAAGACACACACAGACAGACTCACAACCGCCTGGAATGAGTCGAGGAACGAGCCGACCCCCGTCAGGACTCTCTGGATCCGTCCGAGCGCTAAAACCTGAACGCCTGCCGACCTTCATGCTTTTAATTTGAAATAAAACAGACTTTAAATCTACTAGATTAGTGTAATTTCACTTCTAAAAGTCGCCTCCTGTCTTTGTGTTTCCATGTTTCAGTCTCTGAATCGGTGATGATTTAGTTCTGGATCATCTGTTGACTTTACAAACTTAGTTTGTTTTGTTTTGTTTTTTAATTGAATTGATCAGGATTTATTCTTAGAAACAGCCAGAAATGTGATGTTTTATTTTTTTAATTTTATTTTTTTTTAATAAGTGACATTTTACACGTAAAATTTAACTTTAATTTAAATTGAACTGAGCTTCACAACAGTTGGTTTAGAATAAAGAACCTCTTTAAAAACACAAACAGCAGCTTTAATTAGAAGCTGTGTGTCGGGACAGATGCTGTTCCAGATGTTTAAGGATAAAGAGGATTTGTTCTGACCTGAAGATCCTCCTCAGACGCCTCCAGAATCTTTAAATGTTTCTCTGCCTTGAGCAGGAGAATCTGAAACCAGTTGAATTCATCCAGCAGGTGAACTTTAAATCCTCGTCTTTCAAAGTTAAAGCGGTTTTATTTCAGAGTCCTGTGCTCTGTCGAAGGTCAGCAGGCGTCTTAGTTTGCGGCAGAAACCAAAGAAAAGCTTCCATGTTCGGTTCTGGGACGGGTTCTCGCGAAGCCTGACCGGGGTTCTGCTCATTCCGACCGGCATCTGCTGAGTGGAGGAGGAGGAGGAGGAGGAGGAGGAGGAGGCGCTGCAGGATGCTGGTAACCGACGGCGACGCTCTAATCAACGCTTCACGCCGGTTCATTAACAGCGTTTGTGTCTGTTCTCTGTCTGACTCTGTCTCCTGGAAACGCCTCCTCATGTGTGACTGATGCCAACAAACTCCGACGTTGTTGTTTCACAGCGAAGCCTCAAAACCATGAAAACCTGGCAGCAAGAAAATAAAAAAAATAATAAAACATGATGGAATACCATAAAGTTAGAAAACTGTGACCAGATGTCTGTAAAATAATCATAGTTTCACTGATTTAAATATTAAATTTGTGTCATTTTAAGGTCACATCTTGTAAAAATAGAGATTTTTGATGTGAATATTTTTTACAGTTTTTACACTTTTTTCCTAAATTTGCATCAACAGTCAACATGTAAATGAATTCGTGTGATTTTACTGCATATTATCTGTAATTTAACACAACAGGGAGGATATGTAAAATAACACTTAAAGTATTTTTTAAAACCATTTTTCAGTCCTTAATATTGAAAATATATATATTTTTAAATAATGACAAATAAATGTAAATTTTTATATATATAGTTTTTTCCCCCCAGATTTAAATACAGTAAACAAAAGTGTAATTTTATGGTCAAACCTTGAAAAATAACAAATTACTTTTTGTTTATGTGGAACATATTTATTTATTTATTTTTAACTTTTTTTATTTTAATTTTTTTACAATGTGTAAATCGATGCTTTTTTGGGGGGATTTCTATTTTAAAAAACACCATTTTTAATCCTTAATCTGCATATTTTTCTACAAAAAGTTGCTGTAGGAAAACAAATAAAATGCATTCATTTGTAGACACATATAGATTAAATTATGTTTCCCTAATCTGATGCCGATCAGTGTGTAGACGTGGTTTCTAGGAGGAAGGGTTCATCGAACTCTAACGCCGTCTCTGGAGGTCGTTTCTTTGTGTTCAGGATCCTGTCTGTCCGTCTTATTGTCTGTTTTATGTTTGCAGATGTTCATTCTTCTGTTTGCTGCATTCTTGTCATTTACAGCGACGATAAAAAGTTTTCACTCACCTCAGAAGTTTCTCCTCTTTTATCGCTGTT